GAACAAAGGTGCCAGCACAGAAAGCTCTTGCTGCTCATGCAGTGCCCAGGCTGCTCCACCATCTGCACCAACCAGCCAAAACTTCCAGGCTTTCTTTCCTGGGGAAAAGGGCTGTTGCTTCGTGTTTTCAGACCTGCCTCCCAACTGCCTGCCCTACTCTCAAAATTGCATATAGAAGAAGGATCCTCCCACACCAAAGGTACCAGCACAGAAAGTCTTGCTGCCAATACAGTCTGTAGGTTGAAAAACCAACTGCACCACAAAGCCAAAGCTTCCAGGCTTTCTTTCATGGGGATATGGGCTGTTGATTCCTGTTTTCAGCCCTTCCTCCCAGCTGCCAGCACGACTCCCAAAATTGCATACAGATGAAGATTCCTCACACCAAAGGGGCCAGCAGAGAAAGCTCTTGCTGCCCATAGAGTGCCCAGGCTGACCCAGCAAGTACACCTGAAAGCCAAAGCTTCCAGGCTTTCTTTCCTGGAGATGTGTGTTGTTTGTTTTTTCAGACCTGCCTCAAATCTCCCAGCCCGACACCCAAAATTGCATACGGAAAAAGATTCCTCCCACAACAAGTGTGCCAGCACAGAAAGCTCTTGCTGCTCATGAAGTGCCCAGGCTGACAAACCAACTGTGGCACCAAAAAGCCAAAACTTCCAGGCTTTCTTTGCTGGCGATAAGGGCTGATGTTTCCTGTTTTCAGCCCTGCCTCCCAACTGCCAGCTCGACTTCCAAAATTGCATACAAACAAAGATTCCTCCCACAGCAAAGGTGCCAGCAGAGAAAGCTCTTGCTGCCCATGGAGTGCCCAGGTTGGTCCACAAACTTCACCACAAAGCAAAAGCTTTCAGGCTTTCGTTCCTTGAGATAAGGGCTGTTTTTCCCTGTTTTCAGCTCTCCCTCCCAGCTGCCAGCCCGACTCCCAAAATTGCATACGGACGAAGACTCCTCCCACACCAAAGGTGCCAGCACAGAAAGCTCTTGCTGTCAATGGAGTACCCAGGCTGACAAACCAGAAAGCCAAAGCTTCCAGGCTTTCTTTCCTGGGGATATGGGCTGTTGTTTCCTGTTTTCAGACCTGCCTCCCAACTGCCAACCCAAAGCCCAAAATTGCATAGGGCAAAAGATTCCTCCTACACCAAAATTGCTAACAGAGCAAGCTTTTGCTGCCAATGGTATCTCCAGGCTGAAAAACCAACTGAAACAAAAAGTCAAAGCTTCCAGGATTTTTTCATTGAGATAAGGGCTGGGTTTTCCTTTTTTCAGCTCTGCCTCCCAACTGTCAGACTGACTCCCAAAATTGCATACACACTAAGATTCCTCCCATACCAAAGGTGCCAGCACAGAAAGTCTTACTGCCAATGCAGTCTCCAGGCTGCGACTATATTACCTGGTATTCCCTATGATTTTTTAGTAAGTCTCTTTCCTTCCGGCGGCTTCGGAGTTGCAGGTTTCCCTGCTGTTGAGTCTGCTGGGCCTGGAGAGTGAGGCCTGGTAAGGCCTTGCCGACCTTGGGAGGCGGAGGTTGCCGGCAGTCACTCCAACGTTACTCTCCATTGTCCCAAGGAGATTAGTAAGATATTCTTTGCTAATTCTTTTAGTTGATAGACCTTGGACTATTGATCAGGATATATATATATATTTTATTTTGGTTTTGTTCTTTTTTTTCCCTTCCCGCTTCCATTTTCCTTGTGAAACTGTATATATATTTCAATTGTATATAACTGTAATATAAGTGTAAATATATTTACATATATTGCTTTAGCTGTCTCTCTTTCGTTTTGGTTTTCTTGGTTATTTTTTTCTCCTTCTTCTCCCTTGGTTTGGGGCACGGGACACTTCTTGTGGTACAATTTGGAGACTGGGCAGGGAGCCAGCTACAAACCATATCACAACTCTTTTCCCAAAATTGCATACAAACAAGGATTCCTCCCACACCAAAGGTGCTGTGGCTGGAATAGAGAGATTTCTCTGAACAATATTTCCTGCTTTCTGTAGGCCTTGCTTGACATGACTTTAGGAGTTGCAAGCTGTAATATTTATACTTACAGACTGTGTGAAAATATGTAATGTTTATACTTGTTAGCTGTGTGTCTAGTCATAAGGTTTGAGAAACTAGAGATAAAGGTACACCTGCAGATTTCGGAAAGCCCCTAATTAGGAAGGCCTTTCAATGCCAATTATGATTTCAGATCGCATGGACGGGAGGTAGAGAATAAATCTTTCTATTTTCCTCTTCACTTATGCATACACAAACTTTGGCTTTTGCTTTAGTAAAGTGCCTGATCTCAAGGTAGAAGTCATTTTTCCATCATATTTTGTCTCTTCCTGTCTGGCTGGGAAGGGCAGCGATAGAGCGGCTTGGTGGGCACCTGGTATCCAGACAAGGTCAACCCACTGCAACATTGCAGGGTCTCATGGAACCAAAAGACTGCTGGGACACTGGGGGAACTCACGGAATCAAGTGGCCGTCGTGACACTGCCCTGCATCGTGGAAGCAAATGTTCCCTGGGAAACTACGGAAGAACAGGGAATTAAGGGATGTCATTGGGATGTACAGGACCTCATGGAATTAAACAAACCTTGAGATATCTTTGGAACTTCATGGAATCAAAAGGGTAAAACAAAAGAATTAAACCCAATGACCAGAAACCATTGGATCGAACACTTCTTTAATATGCCAGCTGGGGATTCATGGGGGTACTCTGCCATGCATGAATCAAAGAATCAGTATAAATTTTGGAATATAAATACAGTGATACTTGTAAGACCCTCCCCTTCACAAACAGTCCATAATTATGATTTTGGGGTCAAACAGCATCTTGGATTTTATTCGTGGAGCAAGACTGCCATCTAGCGTCCATTTCTTCTGGGAGGGGCAGTCATTTTCGCAGAGTGGTCTCCTCGCTTAGCAGGCCTCGTAGCATCTCTGATTGACCTATCCGACCTCTAACCCCTAAATGTTCTAGGACCAGCTGAGACATGTGTCTTAGAACTTCCCATTTGCTTAAACAATGTTTAATTGACTTGCTTCTTAACAGAACAATCTCTTATTAAACAAGTTTTCTGAGGCATGTAAGCTAATTTCTTGGAGATGGGCATACGATACACTCTCTATTAGTTTCCATGTATCATCTACATTCTCTCTCCTAAAACTAATTGTAGAATTAAAAGAAAAGACCACTACCATGCCAAGAAAGCAAGTCCCTTTGTTGATTAGGATATAATTTTTATCTAAGAAAATACTTCTGATTTGCTAAGTCGTTTAGAAAGGAGATCCTCTCTCATTTCAGTGCCATTGTGACAAATATGGGGCCTCATGTAACACATGGAAAACTGAACACTGCAGATTCCCATGGAATCAAGGGACCATGGTGACATTCTAGGGCCTCATGGAAGAGGAAGGCCCTGCAGAGAGACCTCAAATCAGAGGTTTGGGCAATCATCAAGCAGAGGAAGTTCAACAAAGGGAAGTGCCGGATTCTGTCCCTGGGATGGGGCAACCCCGGATGTACGGACAGACTGGGAATGACATGCTGCATAGCAGTGCTGGAAAATGGCCTCTGGGGTCCTGGTGGATGGTCAGTTGGCCAAGAGTCAGTGGTGCCCTGACAGGGGCTCACTGCTCGGTCACACAAGTGTTTTCAGACACACGAGTCCTTCCCTTGCACACACACAGACAGTTCATGGCAACAGGGGCAGTATCTCCTGGGGCTCCTGCTGCCAGGCCCGGAGCCTGGATGCACCTCAGCCCTGTGGGGTGTCACCTGCTCTGCCACTATCTGAGATGCCCCATAGCCTGAGAGATGGACACGGGGAGCTCTGTCCACAGAAGTACATCCCAGAGCTGCATCCAGGGGCTTTGTGAAACCGAGACACTCTTTGTCCCACATAACCTCAAGGCTCCCCCAGGAGGTTGATGACAATTGTACTTGCTCAGGGTCATCTCCCCACCCCAACACCAGGTGTATGCTCAAGACTTGTCTATGCAATGCAAACAGAGACACGCTGTCTAGTCCTTCCGTGTCTCTCCAGGGAAGGTTTAAGAACCTCTGTGGGCTGGGTGAGAAGTCAGTGCTGGAAGTAGTGATTCTGTTGTGAGTGTCAACCAAGAGTGGTTGGAAGGTCTGTGATGAATTGCAAACCCAGTAGACCTGGGTTTTCCAGCGCACAAGGCAATAGATCACACCCTTCCTTGGTGGTCCTTCATGTGAAGGAGGAGGTGACAGCAAGGGGAAAGAGAATGAATGTTTTGGCTGTGCCTCTGAGTACCCCTCAACTTGCTGCAGATATTCTGGTTCCAGCACATCCAGTTCAAGTGTGACAGGCTGTTCCCTGGTCCTCTGAGCAAGACGAGCAGGAGGAGGGACACAGCGGAGCTCACATAAGGAGACTGCATCTCTATGAAGTTCAAAGCAGGTGGGGGATGCCCTGCCACGTCCGAGCTTTCTCTGGAGAAGGTGCTTCTCCCATGCACTGCCTCGCCGTAGCACTGGTGCCACAGCCCCAGACAAAACCACAAGTAGTCTTTGTCCCCAGCAGAAATGCTTCTGCTGCCAGCAGGGATGCTCCCGGGGACAGGCCAGGAGAGGTTGAGTCCGCGATGCTGAGCCCGGAGGGATGTTCTGCCTCTCGTGCCCCTCGACCATTCTCACAACGCGTACCCTAAAGGATAATTCAGGAGTCTCCACGTGCCAACAGAGGAGGGATGTGAGGGAAGAGATGATGGGCGTGAAAGGAGCTCATGGCCGATCAATCTTGAGTTCCCCGATACCAACCTTCATCCCTGTCACCCAACCCGGCCCCGCCGCCTCCGCGGTGCAGAGTAACGACCCCCGGTGCTCTGCCGCCTCTCTCGTTTGGTCTCTGCACCAGGCCGGGGCGGAATTGTCGGAGTAGGGCAGGGGAGGGAGAGGAAGGCAGAGGAGGGAGAGGAGTCGGCCCCCCGGAGCCGAGAGCCGAGGCTGGTGGGGCCAGCGAGACGCCGGGCGGCGGATCGGCGGATGCAGCGCCGGCGAAGAGCGGGGCTGGTGGCGCTGGCCGCGGTTCTGCTGGGTGCGCAGGGATGGTGGCCGGGGACCGTGGGGGCCGGGGCAGGGGCTGGGGGAGCCGTGCAAGTCCTTGGAGGCTGCCGTCCTGCCTGGCAGGTTCTTCACAGAGCTCTGCCTCCGAACTATCCTCCCGTCCGTCCCTCCCTCTACACCCTAAAGCATTCTCCCGGAACACTCATCGCTCTTTTCGTTGTCGAGCCGTTCCTGTTTTCTTGCTTTACTCTCTGTCTTTCAGAGAACTCCTGCAGTCCTTCCTTCCCCTTTCCTACTTTTCTTTCTCTCCTTGCTTTGCTTAGACCCGCAGCTTTCCATTCTTCAGTGACTCCACTAATCCACCTCTCTTCCCCGCACTCATCTCTCCAGCAAATACTGATGAACACTTCCACTACCTGCACCCTTTGATATCTTCTTAAAATTCTTCTCCGTATGGTCCTGACTGCTTCTGTGCCATTTGTTCTGGGAAACGACATCCAGTGCAAAAGCAATTCTGACGGCTTTTCTTCTTTATCTCCCCACCAATGTGTGCAGGCACAGCACTGGTGCAGCAGGACTCATTGGCAGCGACCACCGAGGGCAGTGAAATCACCATCAAGTGCTCAAACGCCAACATAGGAATCGGGGATTTTATCCATTTCTACCGGCAGCTGCCGGGTCACAGACCCGAGCTCCAGGCACCCGCTGCTAAAGTGCCCAGAGAGCTGCGGGCGCCAGTGGGGCGGCTCTCGGTGTCGGGAGATCGTCGTTGGACCGTCCCCTGGCTCTCCGATCCCTGTCGTATGGAGGCGGCGCTGTATTCCTGCACCCGGGCGGACACGGAGTCATTGACACCGTCGTCTTTGGAGCTTTTAGGGGATTATCGCTGAAATACAAACCTCGGTTAATTGTTTCTACAGCGGAGTAAAGTAGTGCCCCTATGAAAACGGGCCGTTTCAGTCCTACACAGAGCACAAGCTTGCGACTGAATGCCTGAGTGTCAAGTGACATAAACAGCACAGGGCAGCGCAAATCTGGGCATACTGAAGTCAGTTGCAATGTGTGTCCATAAAGTCTCCGGAGCCATTTTCTCCTGGATACTCTGATCCACTCCAGGCAGGCACCGCGATTCTCTGGTTCATGAAGATCTTTCTGTTTGGATAGGAGGAGGGTTCTGGCTTTGCCTTGGGTGTGAAAAAGACACAGTAAGGGTCCGCAAGACTTGGAGTGTCACTCGTCAAGGATCTGAACACTTCATTTCGGACGTGTGCCGAGGAAGCTGTGAAAGCAAACAGTGCGATGGAGCGAGGTGCAGCCAAGCCAGACCAAGTGTTCCAGTTGGTGAGAGGAAAAAAAGCCAGTAAATAAGAGAGACTTCCAGCCATGTGACCCTGGGCTCAGGAAGGATGGTTGCAGGACCATCCTTCATTATCCTCTCAGTACAAATTCAGACTCCTCACCTTCCTGTAAATGTGTTATCTTTGCTCTGATACATAAGAGGTCCAGAACCATGTCAGGAGCGCAGAAGCAGAGGGAGGGTGTGCTTGATGCTTCTCTCCCACCTGGGAAGACCGTGTAAGCCTCAGGACGCTCCACGTGCCTAGAAGTCTCTTTTACACTTTGAAGAAGTGCAGCACTTCCACTGGAATGCTCCCATTCTTACCACTTTCATCATTCCATCGCTTTTCACCACATCATAAAAGTTTTGTCGAAGAAACCTTTTCGACGTAACCAAATTGAACAGTATATTTCTTGTGGTTTGATGGGTGCCTGGGATCGCTCTGCAGTTGATCTAGAGAAAGGAATGGGAGTAAGGGTCTCCATCTACCAAGCCCCCAGCCCTTCAGCTCTCCTTTCAGATGGATGGATCAGGGCTCTCCCAACCCCACCACTCGAAGGCAGCAGTCTGGTGGTTGCCCCGTGTGCTCCCTGTGTGTGCGTGAGGGTCACCTACTGAATCTTAATCCTCTTCCCTGCTCTCATCCCTCAGCACGTTCCCTAGGGAATATGGTGTCCTTGCCACAGTTGGGGCTGGGATATCCAGCAGCGCTGCTGGAGCCACGTTTCTCTCTCACACTGTGCATTTTCCCAGCAGAGAAAGGTACAACCAGAGAACCTGGGTTGGTGCCCAACAAGGCTCATCTCTCTTTCCTGGGGAGCTGGGAGAGAAGCATTCGTCCCAAGCAGATGAAGAAGGACGGGGAGAAGCCACAGAGGCGGAGGAGACACGTGTTCCCCAAGAAAGCTGCAAGCAGCCCAGAGAGCTGAGGACAGCACGGGAAGATGTGAAAGGTGCAGCAGGGAAAAAACCCCGGAGCTCCCAAAAGCCCAGCAGTGGGTGTGCAGCAGAACAGGCTATTGCAATTGGGACTGCGAGCTGACCCAGAACAGCCCGTGCCCATGAGCGAGGCCCCAGAGGTAGGCAATGCTCAGAATGCCATCATCGGCTGAGGGAGCCACAGGGGCTGCTGCTTGGGGAGGGAGAAAAGTAGAGAGAGCATTCAGGCACCGAAAGAGCAGTTTATGTCTCTGTCCTCCTGCTTCCTTTGCTCGCCCATGGGAGTCCTTTCTGGTAGCTCTGTTCTCTCGGGACAGGGTGCTGATTTCTGACCCTCCCAGCAAACAGGCAGGTAGGTCTCAGCATGAACTTCGTCTGTCTCGTCCTTAATTTCTGCCTGGGCCACCTCCTCTCGACATTCCGGCTAATCATATATGCATCCTTCTTCTTCCTCCCAGAAAACACACAAAAGACTTTTCAGGTCCCTGTGGGAAAATACCACTGAATAGAGAAAAATCGCTGCAAATCTCGTACTTACTCTCTTGCATGTGTTCGCTCCAGATGATCTTATGTCTTAAGGAAAAGAGGAGAGAAAGAAGAAGAAATGCAGACCCCATCTCAGTCTCTGCTCTTCCCTTCAACCTCTCTCCCTCTGTCTTCTCATCCACCTGCTGCCACCAATTGACGCCTCGGCTGTCTCTGCGCTTCCACATTTCTCCTTTTCTAAAGAAAATCAGCAGATC